CGTGTAGCACCGAAAACATTTCTTCCTTGATCCACTAGCATAGGGTGATCCGCTGGCTCACCACCCATATTAGGCCAGAACCGTCAGAGTAGTCTTAAACCCGAACTTGGTACCTGGTGGTGGTGCTGAAAATCGGGCGATCCAGCCAAGTCAGTCGGGGGATCCGTCTGCCGCTGACACCACAAAATTCCCCGGCTATTCCCAGTCATTCTCCTTCTCTGCTTCAGCTCTTCAACGTTGACTTTTAGCGGTGACCCACTGATGACACTTAAAGTAAACTCGACCCGAGGGTAGTTGCTGGTCGTCCTCCGTAGATCGTGGAGTGTAATTTCTGACCATGAAAATGGCTTCCTCTGCAGGAATCCAGACTCGCCGGGCTCGAAACTCCGGAGCAGACGAATTACACCTCCAGGCGGGCAAGTCACGCGAATCAATTCCAAGGTCAGTACTCCTCTGAACTCTTCCGTGCCTGAGCCCCACGTTTTGCTTTCGTGCGGAAAACTCCAACGCCTCGTTGCTGAACAATCTCCGAAGTCCCGTCTTCACCTGCTTGTTGCCTGCCGGAAACGCCGAGCCTGGTGACGTCAGCTACACTTCACCATGCAGCCACGTCTGCTACATGCGCTCCTGACGAAATCCTCTTTGCCTGGGGATATCGCGAGCTTGTCGTTGCGTGACGAGCTCCTTGCTCCATTCGAACACCAATCCAAATTGTCGTTGCTGCTTGCCAAAAATCTGAAACTGCAACCGAAACTACTTTAACGATACGTGAAATGAACAGCATAACGGAAACACTCTTCATAATCTTTGCCATGTCAGGATGGACACAACCGCCCTCGAGGGGATGGCCGAGCAAATCCTGCTCGTCCCTTGGGGTCGGATCGACGGTCTTGAAACCGGAGTTGTTGAAGCATCCGTAGCACCATCCGCGTTCTCAACCCCCCCCGAAAAAAATTATGCCTCGAAAGCCCAGCGGGTGGGGAAAGTGGCTATGAATACCCAGTGCTATGAATGGAATCGCCGAGTACCGCAGAGGGCAATGGCGAAACTGTGAACGAGTAAATTCCAATAAAATGGAAGACAACACAAAATATAGGAAACCAAAGAGGATCCTGGACGTAGGATCGGAAGGTTCAGGAAAGGTGTCGAAGGGCCTCGAATTGTCGAAGCGAGGTCCGAAATGGCCCAGGAGGCTTGAACTGAAAGGTCTCGAACCCTATCGCTGGTTCGGGAGTGTTCGAGACGTACGCCCTGTAACAAGCCTTAGAAAGGAATTACTAATTCCTTACAGGGTACCTCACATGTGAGTAACATGCGGCGAAAATTTCAGTTTCACGACGAAGATGCTAGCGACAACTTTAGACGGCTGCGACATGGTGTTGGGACGCGATTGGCTGCGCGAATACAACCCGAGCATTGACTGGCGGATGGGCGATTGTCGCATCAAATGGAATGGCTAGTGGCGACGACTACCCAAATGGAGCTGTCAAGATTCGACCATATTGATGGTCAGCGCAGTGACGATCAAGCGAGCCATGATTCGAGGGGCGCAACTGTATGCCGTCCGATGGATCGCATCAACAGCTGACGACACGCCGACCGACATCGACAAACTCTGCGTAGCTGTCCCGGATGACTTGGCGATGGTGATTCGGAAACAAGCTGACATATTTCCAGATGACCTACCAGAGGGTTTGCCACTTGAGCTAGAACATGTCCACACAATCGAGCTCGAGCCCGGCGCACAGCCTACTGTTGGAACTCAGTGGCAGCTAACTCAGCTAGAGCTGGATGAGCTTCGAAGCCAGCTGGACTACCTGCTCGAGAAAGGTTTCGTTCGCCCCAGCACATTACCGTTTGCAGCTCCGATCCTGTTCACCCCGAAGAAATATGGCGGGAATGTATTTTGACTACCGCGCCTTGAACCGGGTTACCATCAAATCTCGCTATCCCATCCCGCGTGCCGACGAACTCATCGACCAACTTAGCGGAGCCAAATTCTTTTTGAAAATTGACCTGCCACGCAGTTACCACCAAATCCACGTGAACAAATCTCATTGCTACAAGTCGGCGTTTCGGACCCAATATGGGAGTTATGAGTACATGGTTATGCCTTTTGGCTTAACAAACGCACCTACAACATTCCAGTTTAACCATGAACGAGGTTTTTTCAGCCGCTGCTGGACAAATGCGTCATCATGTACCTCGACGACATTCCTGGTCTACACCACTACCGGGAGCAGCATTTGAAGGATTTGGAAGCACTTTTCCCTCTATTGCAGCAGCACCGGACTCATTATTGTAATAGAGAGAAAACGGACCGTCAGTTTTCTCTCTATTGCAGCAGCATCTCCAGAAGAAGGGCAAGTTTTATGAGTGGGGGGGAGAGGCAGTAAGGCTGCGTTCAAACAGCCCAAACTTTTCCTGACTACACTCCGGTTCTTCGGATTGCAGATCCTGACGTCCGCTCGAGCTCATCACCGACGCTAGCAATCTGGCCGTTGGCACAGTACTGTTACAAGAATTCGGCGAAGGCCTCCAACCCATCGCCTACGAGTCACGAAAGCTGAACCGGCAGAGCGAAATTATCCTGTCCATGACAAGGAGTTAATGACCATCGTTCACGCTTTCAAAGTCCGGCGCTGCTACCTGACGGGCACTGACGTGACAGTTCGAACAGACCACAAGTCGCTACAGTGAATCCCCGACTGATTCGCTGGCTTGATTACCTCGAGTCCAATTTCCACTACAGGGTCACTACAAACGGGGAGTTAGTAACATTGCCGACGCACTGACCCGCCCTTCATGCCACACCGCCGCAGTCCTAATTACCCAAGCTAATCCACTGCTAACTGGCCGATTCACCCACGAATACAATACTGACCCATTCTTCACCACTAATTGTCATCCCCAACCGACAGTCAAGCAAGGGGCCTATTACCTAAAATCCGGTACCAATCGGATTTGGATTCCCACCTACTGTACCCTACGAGAACTACTGACCCAGAAGACACATGACTCGAATTTCTTGGGTCACTATGGCATCGACAAAGGCGCCCAAATTACTGAGCCGTAATTATTACTGGCCGATTTGCCCGACAGACGTGCAGTAGTACGTCACCTCTAACAACACGTGTCAACGCATGAAGTCTTCACGGCTTCGATCTGCGGAATTAATGCAGCCGCTCGAGCCACCCAGCCGACCCTGGCAACAGGTGACGATGGATTTCGTCACTGGCCTGCCAACTGGTCCAAGCAGTAATGGCGCGATTCTCGTCGCCGTTGACCGGTTGACCAAGATGGCCCACTTTGCCGCCTGCAAGACGACAATTACTGCCGAGCAGACAGCGAAACTATTCCTCACGAACATCTTGCGGCTACACAGCATCCCCTCGGCAATCATCAGTGATCGTGACCCACGGTTCACGTCCAACTTCTGGACAAAAACCTGGCAGCAGTACGGCACACGTCTGCATCTGCCCACGGCGTACCACCCGCAATCGAACGGCCAGACTGAGAGCACCAATTAGACGATGGAGCAACTAATTTGCACGACATGCACAGACCCGGCCCAATGGGAGGACGCCCTTCCCTTGATCGAGTTTGCATACAACAATGCCCCATTGGCCACGACTACTCAATCCTTGTTCTTCCTTAATTACAGGATAGATCCGACAACCCCTCTATGGCCCCCGATAGAAAACCCGGCACCAAGATCTCAACAGTTCGTCGAAAATCTCCAACAGTCTCAGCAGAAAGCCGCCGATGCCATCCTCAAAGCCAACCTGAGGGCTAAGCAGCAAGCTGACCGACAACGCCGAGACTTAACGCTCGCCCCTGGGCAATTGGTCCTGCTCGACACCAGAAATTGGGAATTCCCCTCCCAAATAAACTACAACCAATATTTTTCGGCCCATTCCACATCATCTACATGGTGACACCAGTCACCGCCCAGCTGCAACGGCCGACAGACAGGCGAATCCATGATTCGTTCCACATCAGTCTCCTGCGACCGTTCGTCCCGAGTACGATTAATCTCGACCGTCAACACATCAATCCTACAGTCAACCCAGTACCCGAGCCAACGATCGAGCCATCCAAAATTCTCGCTCACCGCGTACGAGGTCATCGAAATACAGAAGCCGTTGATTTCCTTGTACGATGGGTCAATCGCACGACTGACGACGATCTTTGGGTGCCCGCAGCTATGCTCGGCGAACACAAAGTCGTCCGTGACTATTTACACCGACGACGTGCCCCAGATGTGGATAGTTTCATCCTGGAATGGGGGGTGGTGTAAGGAAATTCCCTTTTCCTTACTAGGCTCGACTACAGCGCGTACGTCCTTGACTCTTGGAAGTCCAGGCTCGGCCAACTTCTACGGTCCCGAACCATTTCATGAACCCAAACCTAGGCGCGCGGCGCTTCCATGGTTTTCGCCAACCGGACCGCCCCAACCTGTTCGTGTGGTTCTCGGCTAGCTCTGTTCGTGCCTATAAAGGCCTAGGTCCTCATTTGTATCGACACGCTTGAATCGCAACTCCTTTATTATACTACCTGTTATTACTCTGATTAATTCATAACATTAGATCTACTCTCGGCGACATTACTTTATGGCAAGGTTTTGAAAGTCCAAAATCTCTTGCAGGTAATATGTTAATGCATGTGCACTCACTACCACACAGAACATATGAACATTTCTTCTTACTAATAAAATCAATTAAAGCAAAATGCTATCTTAATTTTTTTATATTCTACTGCTCCACAACCCTAAGCCGACCTCGTCGCCTCTTGTTGTTTGTTTTTTTTTTTTTTTTTTTTTTTTTTTTTGTAAATCCCATGATGTAATGTGTAATGCTCCAGTGTACTGTATTTTTTTGTGGGCTTTTGTTGTAATGAATATGGGACAGCTTAGCATCGCGCATATTGTGTTCAGAGATAAGCAAGTCAACGTCCGTCAACTATCTTGCAACTGTCTCCGAGATGTCCCCGTGGTGTCCCAAAAGAAGCCCTAAGAGCACCCGGGCATGAGCCCTTGATTGTCCTAGACACGTATACCCTGACTGACCCAACTTTGGTCCTGAGAGTGTCCAAAATCCAATGTCCCGCAAATGTCCCGAAGGAGTCCTGTTGGATAGTTTTGAGGTTGTTTTTGGGACCTCACTTTTTTGTGATGGACGGTCAGGATGGAGTGTATCCTCCGACCCCCGGGAACGGACAGATTTTGTTGTCACATGGGTTTCTGGAGTTCGTCACTGTTCAGCCTCGGTTGAATTTCGTGTGGCAATTGAAGTCTTCGACACGCAGCGATGACGATTTCGAGCATGGCGACGTGGCTCACCGATTCGACGGTGAAAAAAATGAGGAACTCGCCACAAGCCGATTGGTTTGCAAAAATCCCCATGCGAAAATATTGTTTCGTTAGGAGCACGCGAAGCTGATCTTCATTGCAAAAGTAACTTGTAGCTGAGCATCACAGTTTTCGGCATTTCCGGCAGGGGACACGCAAGTGAAGACGGGCTTCATAGTTTCTGGCACGAGCACGGATTGCACTGTAGCATGCGTAGGGCTCAGGCACTGTACTGACCTTGGGATTGATTCGTGCGACCTACCCGGCTAGAGCTGTATTTCGTCTGCCCTGGAGTTTCGAGCTCGGCGGGTCTGGATTCCAAAAGAGGAAGCCATTTTCGTGGTCAGAAAATACACTCTACGATCTACGGGGGATGACCAGCAACTACCTTCGGGTCAGCTTTTAAGTGTCATCACCCTGTCACTGACAAGCTGAAGCAAAGAAGAAAAACGACCAAGAATGGCTGGTTAAGAGTCAGTAGCAGACCGGGTCCCCTATAAAATGGCTAGGTCGCCCAGATCTTCAGCACCACCAACAGGTTTACCAATTCAGATTTAATGATACTCCGACGGTCCTAGACAAATAATGGGGGTGAGCTTGTGGATTACCCTGTGCTGGTGGATCATTTGAAGGGAAAAGAAAAATGGTGTCACGAATTTCGCCAAAGTAAGGCGATGGGCGAACATCGGTGCGGCGAGCTCTCGGCGACATCTGCCAGGGATTCGTGATTTTTGTTAAGGAAAATTGCGGGCAACAACATCAGCAGCTAAACAGCAGAGCGTGCGCGCTACTGTTCAGAAGCATTTGGAAGATCATTGCAGCAGTTGGAGCAGAAAACATCAAGGGTTACTGTTGCAGCGGGAGGAGCGCGTTGCCGTTCACGAGAAAATTTGGAGTGACTCAGGAGCCTTCAGCGAGTGTCCCAAGTATGAGGGACTATACTCGGGGTTTTCGGATAGGACCTATTCGGAAGTTACCTGGACGGATGCAATGATGGGTGAACGTCGGCGCGTGGCTAAAACGTCGGGTCGTTCCACATGGGAAATCCTTTAAAATTTTGCCTGGAGCAGTAGCGAGGGTCCTCGGGTACCTACCGAGCTCAGCGGTGGTTTAACTACCAGCGCGGTGGGTCGGTGAAACTGCAAAAAAATGCGCTTTTTGTAGCTGAGAGCTGTGCCCGAGTTGTTCAGGAGTACCTGCCGTAGTCGCGCGATGGGTGATCGTCTGCACGGCAAACCGGTCAGGAGACTCTGCAAAATATTCAGCAGCGGGTAAGAACACGATGCAGATTAACGGCAGTTTGAGGAGCTGAATTCCAATCCACGGTGTCGAATGGAGCCAGGGTTATTTAGCATAGTTGCCCTGCGTATGGGGTCGTGCTGCTACTAGTCCCGACGTGTGGAGATTGCAGCTACCCAAATACTTACGCGGTTGCAGACATTGTAGCAGTTTACTTAAGATCAAAGTGGAGTTCGACGAGCTGGGATTTGGAATTGTTTCAGCTGGTTCGCAGCCACAAACTGGGTGGAGTAGTTCTGGATTTATACAGCTGGGAATTGTTGGTGCAACCCTATGGCTTGCACTCGGCTTGTCGTCCTGTTTGTGTGTGTGCATGCATGGCATGGAATGAATTTGAGTCTATGTCATTGCTATCTAGTGCTTGTGTGGTGTTTGAATGGTGTATCACAATGTGGTTTGTGTCGGTCAAGACATTAGCGAGTTTTTACAACTCGCATGTCAAGTCGTCGTTTGCGTGTCGCATGTGTTTTTTCTATTTTGTCGAGTGTGAAGTGTCCATCGTTCGCAGGTGTGTGCAGCAAGCCCCCATCAACTCAAGAAGAATTTATCTTGCAGAATCCAAGACCAAGAGCTCAAGATTTCAAGCCCAAGGGACGCGGATAAATATTAAATAGTGAAAATAGTAACTACTTCGTGTAGTGTTACATTTCACTTGGTGTAGCCCCTTGGAGGGTTTTTCGAGACTCTTCATGGTTGGGGACTCTGTGGTGGTGTACCACCAACCTGGACCTCGGCTCTTGGGGTATGTAGAGGCTGGGAACCATCTCCCTCTCGAATTCTTCTTGCTAAGTTTGTACTCCTAAGACTATAGTGGCTGCTATACCTCCTGCCAGTCAAACCGCCATAGCGTCGTCAAATCTTCATGGAATTTCATGATTCAACTTGCTGCTGATAGCGACAGCAACGCGCTCCAGATCCAATTTACAGATCACCGTTTGATCACATCAGATCGTTATCAATATTTGAAGCGTCTGACGGAAATCCGACTGTGCACTCTCTATCTCTCATTTAGGCACATCTGAGCCTATTGTGATTATAACAAGTGGTATCAGAGCCCCTTGGAGCCTTCTCGACCATGCCTAGACCTGAGGAAGGGGGTGGCAGAGGTGCTGGAGGCAGAGAAGACGCCCAAGCACCAACACCAAGATCCACCCGTTCCCGGTGCAACCTAGCCTTGGACCCTCTAGGGATGAGCCTAGAGTGTTTGGCCTTGACAAGTTCAACGGTGACAACTTTGCTGAGTGGTCCTTCAAGATGGAGAACATCTTTGACCACTATGATCTGCTGGAGGTGATGGAAGGAACGGAGAAGCGCCCCGAGAACGACCCGGAGAAGAGCCCGTGGGTGCGGAAGAGCGCACAAGGCTACCTTCTACTTGGGCAAGCGTTGGGGAGCAGCCAAATCCGTCACATCAAGCCTTTTCAGCGTGAACCAGCAAAGGGACCAAAGGCATGGGCTGCTCTCAAGGGTGTACACGCTCCTGCAACAGCGGCGGTGGCTGTGGTTTTGGAGCGGCAAATGGCGGCACTTCGAATTGACGAAGGCGAACCGGTGGAGGAAGGAGTGCAGAAATTCTTCGACTTGTTGACACGGCTCGAAGGAGCTGACCTGAACTACAGTGACCTTCAAAAGAAGACCAAGCTGCTGGCCTTACTTCCGGACTCATGGTCCTCGCTCATCATCAACCTAAATCGAGATCTGCCCCGTCTCTCACTCGAAGATGTGAAGCGGGAAATCTTACAAGAAGATTTCCGCCGTCGCGAATTGGCGGGTCCCGATGGTGCCGGAGTTGCAAGCATGGGCCGTGGGCACGGCCGTGGAAGGGGCAGAGGGCGAGGAGGAAGATTTGGCAGCAGTAACTTCAATGGAGGCCGTGGTAATGGAGGATATGGCAGCAACAACAACAACAATGGCTACGGGCGTGGGCGCGGTCGATTTGATGGCGAATGCCACTTTTGCCACAAGACCGGCCACATGTGGAGAGATTGCTTCAGATTGCCTGATGGATGGACCCCTTCTCAAGGCCAAGAGGGCAGAGGAGCAAGGGGAGGAAGAGGCAGAGGTCGTGGAGGCCGTGGTGGTCGTGGAAGCGAAGCGGCAAGCATGAAAGGTGGAGACTACGACAAGGACTCGAGTGAAGATCGATACCCGGGCCAATTCTTCTTTGTCTCCACGCAAGCGGCAGCTGCAGCAGGAGGTGTGGAAGGCTTTGAGGAGCCAGCTACTGTGGGAAAGGTCACCCTTCACTCTCTGGACTTTTGGGTGATCGATAGCGGCGCCACCTATAGCATGACACCTCGTGCGGACTTGCTCACCGAACTCGAACCGTCGCCGGTCAAGCATGTTACATCGGCTTTGGGGCAGCGAGCAGAGGTGAAAGGCATGGGCAAGGCCATGTTCAAGGGTGCTGATGGGAAGATGGTGGGCCTCAAGAACGTGCTTTGGGTGCCCAACCTAGCAGCCAACCTGATTTCCGTGCGGCGTTTGCAAAAGGCCGGCATGGACACATCTTCCAAGGGATCCAAAACATATACCGCGAGGCTTGGTGAGCGGAAGCTTTGGGACCTTCATGAGGACAGGGACATCTACAATGAGATGTGGCAAATCCCAGTGGTCCCCATGCCTAACGGGAGGCAAGTGGCAGCAAGCGTCAGCACCAAGAGTGAAGCGGTTGGTGGCGGTGATCACGGAAAGCAAAGTGACACCAAGAGTGACTCGAAGGAGTGCAATCTTGGAGAGACCAGCAAGGCGTGTGAACCCAAGGAGAGTGGTGCAGCAGCCAAAGGTGGTGGAAATGAGGAGGAGAAGCCTAAGATCAGCAAAGCAGCAGCGGCGAAGGAGAAAGGAGAGAGCTTGTGGGGCACAATTGCGAGTGCCGCTTTCTCCAACCCGACTTCCGCTACGGGAGAGTGTGATTGGCTGGACCTTGCATCGGCGAAATGGGGCATGTGGGCATTGCCCATTTTGCAGCAGATAGTTAAGCAAGAGCATGGTCAGTGGGATACGTGTCAAGGGGAGCCCAATGAGGTGCTTGCTGTCCAACATGCATGCAAGCCAAGTTCACCCGCTACCCGTTCCATAGCTCGGAGACAACGGCGAAGCACCACTTGATGAGTGGTGATGGATGTGGTGGGCCCCTTGAAGCTTGGAGCTGCTGGAGCTGAGTACTTCCTCACCATAGTGGACGTCTACACTCGCATGACTTGGTGTATGTGCTGCCAAGAAGAGTGACGCTAGCTGAAACGGTGAAGACCGATTGGTTGCCGATGGTGGAGCGGCAACAAGACCGCTTGTGAAGGCGATTCGCACTGACCGTGGGGGAGAGTTTCCTGAGCAAGGACTTCTCAAATTGGCTGAAGAAGCAGGGCATAAGGCACTCTCTTACCATGCCCTACTCTCCCTGCAATGAACGGCATCGCCGAGCGTGCGAATCGGACACTCACGAGACGGCTCGGGGACTTCTCATTGAAGCCGGTCTACCAATTACTTTGGCCGGATGCGGTGCGGCATGCTTGTGTGGCCAAGAACAGAGCCTTGACTCATGTGGAGAAGACAAATGGTGCCCTATGTGGAGTGATTGGAAGGAAGCGAAGGTGGATATGCTTCGGGTGTTCGGGTGCATGTGACATGGCACTTGTGCCTAAGAAACTTCGCACAACAAGCTTGATGCCAAGGCAACATGGGCCGTGCACTCTGGGCATGGCTCAAAACAGCAAGGGATGGCTTCTTGGGACCCATTTACCAAGAAGTTCTTGGTGAGCAGAGATTGCAAGTTCATGGAGAACTTACCGTACAAGGAGTGGAAGGCGAGAACCAAGCGAAGATTGGTGTGCGGCTTGGAGAGGTGAAGAGTACCGGCTTGGAGCATGTGGAGCTGCCCTTGGAGCTGAGTAGCAGCAGCACAATCACAAGGCAATCTCCTCAAATGAATGGGGGAGAAGAGGAGGAGGAGGTGCAGCAAGGCGATGAGCGTGCACCGTCACTTCCGCCTCGTGCTACAAGTGCTCGCGGGAACCGACCAGATTTGCAGCAACGCCATGAGAGCATCCAAGTCCCTGCAGTAGAGGAGGAAGGAAGGGGGAGAAGGAAGACTCAGCCCCCAATAGGTTGAGCTACGACCTGGCTTGAAGAGCAGGCCAACTCAACCTTGAAGGTTCGGCTCTCATGCTAGGCGATGATGCGGAAGATGAAAGCGAGGAGTGCGCTTTTGCCGTCTTCTCTCGGTGGAGATACCGAGGAGCCTACATATCCCAAGGAGGCTTGGAGGGCCCCAATCGGGAGGGCCTCAGACAAGAAACGGGGAGCATCATAGAGAACGATACGTTTGACTTCGTGAACCTACCTCCAGGGCGTAGGCGATTCTTCCAAGTGGCTCTTCAAGCGCAAGACCGACGCCGATGGCAACATTGAGTGCTACACGAGCAGACTTGTAGGCCAAGGGGTACCAGCAGCAGGAAAAGAAGGACTACAATGAAGTATATGCTCCTGTGGTGAAGGGTACAACCCTTTCGAACTCTCTTCGCCGAGGCAGCCATCAAAGGATGGGTGGTGAAGCAAATGGATATAGTAACGGCCTTCCTCAACGGAGTTTTGGAGGAAGAGACCTTCATGCAGCAGCCAGAGGGGTACAATGATGGGAGTGGCAGAGTGTGGAAGCTGAAGAAAGCACTCTATGGCCTCAAGCAAGCCCCTAGGCAATGGTACATCAAGCTGCAGGAAGTCTTGGAGGCGATCGGCTTCACCCCATCAACGGCCGATCAATCCTTGTTCATGCTTGGCGAGGGGGAGCAGAGGAGCTTCATGGTGGTTTATGTGGATGACATCCTCCATATTCTCACCCTCATCTGACCTTGTGAAGGAGGTGATGCTGAAGCTTCAAGACAAGTTCAAGTGCAAGACCCTTGGTGACGTCAACTACTACCTTGGGCTTCATATTGAGCGAGATGTGGAGAAGCGGTGGATGCGAGTGCATCAAAAGAAGTATTTGGAGGCCTTGGCTGCAAAATTTGGGAAGAGTGAAGGTCATGTGGCTACTCCTCTACCCTCGGGGTTCAAGTGTGTGAAGGGACCAGCGGAGGAAAGTGTTGGTGAAGAGGAGAGGCGTTGTTTTCACTCCTTGGTGGGCAGCCTCATGTATGCGGCCGTTCACATAAGACCGGATGCAGCCTTTGCTACCGGGCAGCTGGCTAGGGTTTTCCAGTCCCCTGATGAAGAGCAGGTAGCAGCTGGAGAGAGAGTGGCCAAGTATCTTGGCCAAACAGCAACTGTTGGACTGCAATACTCCGCGGCGGCACAAAAGCGTCAAAAGGGTGAGGTTGGAGTCGAACCCGGGAGGCTCTTTCTCACCGCTTCTCTGATGCATCTTGTGCATCAGAACCAGAGGATATGACAAGTGTGGGAGGCTTCATCTGCTGTGTTGGTGGAGGCCCAACCGCTTGGGAGAGCAAGAATCAAGTGGACCAAGCATTGAGCTCGGTGGAGTCCGAGTACATGGCACTCTTCCGTGCCATAAGAGAGGTTGTGTGGCAGCGGCGTTTGCTAGCTAAATTGGGGGAGGAGCAGCAAGGACCTACCCCAATCTATTGTGATAGCCAGGGTGCTATTTCATTGTCTAAGAACGCTGTACTTCATGGCCTTACCAAGCACATGAAGGTGAAATGGCATTGGGTGAGGAGCATGGTAACCTCGGGTGAAGTGGAGTTACACTACGTGCAGACGACGGCGCAGCCTGCTGATATGATGACCAAGAGGCTGGTTGAGCAGCAGCATTGGAAGTGTTGTAAGCTTGCTGGGATGGCTTTTAACTACGGGGAGCAGATTCTAAGACCAACAATCCGAGGGGGAGTTTGTTGGTGCAACCCTATGGCTTGCACTCGGCTTGTCGTCCTTGTTTGTGTGTGTGCATGCATGGCATGGAATGACTTGTGAGTCTATGTCATTGCTATCGAGTGCTTGTGTGTGTATTTGAATGGTGTATCAGAATATGGTTTGTGTCGGTCAAGATATTAGCGAGTTTTTTACAACTCGCATGTCAAGTCGTCGTTTGCGTGTCGCGTGTGTTTTCTCTATTTTGTCGAGTGTGAAGTGTCCATCGCATTGCAGGTGTGTGCAGCAAGCCCTCATCAACTCAAGAAGAATTTATCTTGCAGAATCAAGACCAAGAGCTCAAGATTTAAAGCCCAAGGGAAGTGGATAAATATTAAAATAGTGAAAACAGTAATGCTACTTCATGTAGTGTTACATTTCACTTGGTACAGCCCCTTGTTGAATTTGTTTCGAGTCCCTTCGTGGTTGGGGACTCTGTGGTGGTGTACCACCAACCTGGACCTCGGCTCTTGGAGCTTGTAGAGGCTGAGAACCATCTCAATCTTGATTCTTCTTGCTAAGTTTGTACTTCTAAGCCTATAGTGGCTGCTATACCTTGTGCCAGTCAAACCGCCATAGCGTCGTCAAATCTTCATGGAATTTCATGATTCAACTTGCTGCTGATAGGGGACAGCAACGCGCTCCAGATCCATCTTTTATATCACCATTTGCATCACAGATCATGCCATTATCAATATTTGAAGCTGTCCGACGGAACTCCGACTGTGCACTCTATCTCTCATTTTTGGCACATCTGAGCCTATTGTGATAATAACAGGAGTGTGTTAGAATATACCATGCTATGCTAGTTGTGTATATTGTTTTTACATCCCTAGTTGGGTGTACACCTGTGTTGGGGTGTCAATCTAACCCAATTGTGGTTGGAGCCCCCAAACACAAGGACCATAATTGTGGGGGAACCACAAGTGGGTTGCCCAAGCCACTCGTGGTCCACCATACTTGCACCACCTCCCACTTCTGGTCAACCACATTTGGAAGGATCCTCTCTCCCTTGTGATTGGTCCTAACCCCCCCTTCCCATCCAACCTTCCCTTCCTAGCTCATCTCTCTCTTCTTATGTAATGCCTTTGCTTCATCAATAAACTCAACATTTCTGTTTCAAACATGGTATACACCAATAATGGCTCACGCCAACTTTTAATCCCTATCCTTCCCCACGCTTCCGCCCCGTCCCCTTCCGACGTGCACCTCATTGCCGTCCCCTCCATCGCCGCTGCTAGACTCCTAGCCGCCGCCTCTCTTTCTCTTCACAACTAGTTTTCTGTTGGGTGGATTTTCAAACATCCCCAGCGCGCCAAACGCCATAGCTCGCTACCCAATTGACAGAATTAAGTGATTCGACTTGCAAAAGAACGCTCTTAATGTCAGCTATAACGTCGTAAGATTTCAAACTGTTTCACCGCTTGGATTGTCGGATATCGCTTTTCGAAGTTTGCGCACTTTCCTGGATGTGATTACGAAGTGCTACTGGAATTTCCACCAAGTCCTACTTTCATCAGGTAACTGCCATCTTTCCCCATCAGCTAACTGCCATCAGCTAGCAGCAGCAGCAGACGCAGAAGCAGCAGCAGTAGCAGCAGCACTAGCAGCAGCAGCAACAACAGCAGCAGCAGCAGCAGCAGCAGCAGAAGAAGGAGCAGCAGACGCATCAGCAGCAGTGGCAGCAGCAGCAGCATCGGCAGTAGCAGCAGCAGCAGCAGCAGCAGCAGCAGCAGCAGCAGCAGCAGCAGCAGCAGCAGCAGCAGCAGCAGCAGCAGCAGCAGCAGCAGCAGCAGCAGCAGCAGCAGCAGCAGCAGCAGCAGCAGCAGCAGCAGCAGTAGCAGCAGCAGCAGTGGGAGCAGCAGCAGCAGCTACAGCCATTCCCATCCTCCCCTCCTCTTTGAGACGCCGCGGGTCCACCCGCCGCCGCTCCCTTCCGACCACCGCGGGTCCACCCGCCATCGCCTTCCTCCCACTCCGTGTCACCAATGGCATCCTTTCCCCCTCCTGTAAACGTCTCGACACTCGATCATTTGGTGCGCGTTGCCGACAACTCAGCAACTAACTGGTATTCCTTCGTCGGCAGCCTCCACCGCATCCTCGGCAGTGCATATGTCGTGCCGTTCTGCCTCCTGGACATCATGCTTGGTCTCCCAGAGGGTGACCTTGGGGACCCGCCGCCTCACCCTGGCAATCCCCCCCTCTCATTCCCCATCCCGGCGAGGAACCTCTGCCCCCCGTGGTACCCGTTGGCACCAGCACTCGCGCTGCTACCGCTGAAGTTGAGCACCTCTTTGTTACTCAGCGTCGTGAGTTTCTCGTGCTCCATACTGATTACCTGATCGCTTTGGAGGAACACGAGCGGTCGGCCACCCTCCGCAACCAGCATGCCGCTACCGCCGCCGCTTATGCCGCTGACTCTGCGCGATTTGCCGAGCGTCGTCGCGCTTGGCTCGAGGCGGACAGGCGTGCTACTGGTGCCCTTCTCCTTGCCATCCCGTCTGCGCTCATGCGCAGCATCCAGGCACGTCGCATCGGCTCCCGCCAGATCTGGCTCGACTTGAGGCGATGTTCGAACGCACCGACTTCGACGCTGTTGGACCGCTCTTCAAGGAATACTTCAGCATCACGATCGAAAATAGTGCAGGCGCCGTTGACTACACGAGCCGTCTCCTGGACCTTGCCTCCCACCTAGAGGCTCGCCAGACTACTCTCCCCTCCAACCTCCAGATCTACCGTCTCCTCGAAGGCCTCTCCCCTCAGTATGAAGTGCGCGTCATCGCCTTCACTAAGGCTCAGCCCCGCGCCTCCCTTGATACTGTGGTCCAATGGATCATTGACGCTGAGGCCCGCCTTCTCTCGACCCCCCCCTCCGGCTTGAACTCCACCGAGTCCCAAAACCCCCAGCTTGCAGTCGCACAGCCGCGTCGTGGAGGGCGCCGACGTGGCGGCCGCACCAACCCTCAGGGAGGGGGTGTAGGTGATGGTTGTGGGGGCAACGGAGCCAGCAGCGGTGGTGGCGGGGTCGAGGGTGGCAGCAGTGGTGGTGGTGGAGGCAGTGGTGGCTCATCTGGTAGCCGTGGTGGCCGCCCTGGCACTCTCCCCCCATGTTCCTATCTTCGCCGTTTTGGTCCCAGGGCGGATGAGCGCTGCACCCAAACCAACCATCCCCCAACGACCTGCTTCAAAGCGTATGATGATGCCTGGTTCGAGCGCAGCAACACTGGCACACCCCCACGCTGGTTTGCCATAGATCCCCACCCCTCTCTCAAGGATGTCAAAACTCTTCCGTCTTTCCTCCCCTCTCATCTTCAGCTCTCCTCCTCCTCCTCCTCCTCCTCTATCGCTGACCCCATAACTCCCCAGGAGCTGCAGCAGTTTCGCCGCTTCCAGCAGCTGCAGCCGCAGCATCTGCATTGCAGTAGCAGCAGCTTGGCTTTGGCACCGCCGCCATGGCTGCCACAGCCACAACAGGTCCTCCTGGCTTTCCCCTCTGGGGCTCTCCTTCCCCTAGTGCTCCCACCTCCCACTCCAGCTTTCTAGGCGAGCTCATACGGTCTTCCCCTGCTTCCACTTCCATGTATCCCTCTGTTTTTAATGCCAGTGATTTTTGTTTTTAATCCCCATTGGGATCTTTGGAATCTGTTAGAAATAGACTGCAAATACCACTTTTGTATTTGTACTTTTATATCCTAGTTTAGGTTATGAATGTTCTAGTGGGTTGGGGTGTACTCACAAATCCCAACCTCACCCAATTGTGATCCCCCCAATCTCCAATTACCCAATTGGAGATTCCGGAGATCCCAATGGGGATTCCCTCCAATTCCCCCTTCATCTATTCACTCTCACCTTGCCATGTACTTATAGAGCCTTGGGCTCCTTTCCTAATTAATCATTTCAACTCTATTTCTTACATGGTATCAGAGTGACCTATCCGCACACGCAGATCAAGGTCCTAATCTTAACGTGCCCGCGCTACGCGCACTTCATCGTCGCGACATTCGTTTCGAGTCGTCGGAATTTCGATGTGCTCCACTCTGCAGTCGCGCCTCTCATCGTCGACCGCCTTCGCGCTCGACCTCGTTGAATTTCTCATCTCTAAAGCGTTCACGCTTCTCATTGTCGATTTCCTCCTCGGGTCTCCTTGGTCGAATCTCAATTTCGACCATCTCTTAAAACTCGTTCTCGAGTCTCCTCTTAGACCCCGCCAGAATAGGCGAACTCCCCTCGCGAAATCGCCTCCTCGAACGTCTCGCGTCAAGCAAGAGCACGTACACAGGTTAAAGCGGAGCGGAGCTGATTGCGGAGCTAGTTGCGGAGCCGGTTGCGGAGCTGGTTGCGAAGCTGTGTAGCTGCGGGACAGGGCCTGGGGGTGTGTGGGGGGGTGTGTGGGTCCGGGGTTAGACATAGGCTTAGATTCAGTTTCAAGTCGGCGTTTTAACGAATTTTCGCCGACGCCATTTCCTACTTAGCGGCATTTCGATATATCCGTCAGAGTGATTTTCAGCAATTCTCGTCGACCAATTTCCAGAAGTTCCACGCTGCACACCGACAATGGCTTACTCAACCACTTCACTCGCCAACCCGATCCCGCTCCTTCGTCTCGAGCCGGACGGCACATGCTCCAACTACAAGGCTTGGCGCTATGGTGTCGACAAGCACCTCCTCAGTCGCGAGGTGAAGGGGCTCGAGCTCACCGACGTCCTTCTCAACATCGATGAGGGCAAAGAGCCTCCTAAACCCGAGAGATCCGCCGATCCAACTAATGCCGCCGCCAAAGCAGTTTATGCTGCTGCACTGCAGAAGTACAAGAATTGGGAGAAGGCCGATGGTGCGGTCATTAGTGTCTTCATGGGCACCAGTCCTCCCGAACTCGTCGAAACCTACCACAACTACCCGTCTGCCAATGCCATTTGACTCTACCTCGAAGATCGCTTCCTGAACAAGACTGCAGTGGGAGTTGCTATACTCATCCCCAGCATGTTCCAAGTGCGGCTCGAGGACTCGCCAGGCATGGCGGACTATATCACCAAGGTGCAGTCCATTCATGGTGAACTCAAACAGTTGGGGATAGTCTTCCCCGAGCAAGCCCCTGCAGCCGCTCTCCTAGTCCGCCTCACTCCGGCATACGAAGTCACACGCAAGATGCTCTTGGGCCTTGCTCCTGCAGACCTCACATTTGCCAAGGTCTCATCTGCGCTCCTTTCTGCCGAAAAGGACAACAGCGCTCAAGCAAAGGCCAATGCAATCCGCGCTCCCGTGCCTCAAGCCTATGCCGCTTCGGCGCCATTCCAGCGCAACCGCTTCCCCCCATGTCCCTATGTCATCAAGCGCGGCCCTCGTGCCGGCCAGGTGTGTGGCGGCACCAACCACGCCCTTGCCTCCTACTTCAAGAGAAAGGATGACCATTGGTATGCCGTCAGCTCCCACTGCTGATGTGCGCCTCAACATGTTGTTCCCTGGCACTGCCATGATTAATGAGACAATTTCGCAGTGTCCCGGCTCACAAAGCACCTCAGCCACAATAGATTTCACCCTAGACAGTGGGGCCACTCACATGGTTCTCAAGGAAGAACACTCCTTCAAGCCATACGAGACACCAATCCGTCTACTAGGAGCAGACTCCAGTTTCACAACACACGCCAAGGGCTCCTCCACAGTTCCGTGCCCAGCTTTTCCTTCGGGCAGTGTCACCGGCATGTGTGTTCCCACACTACGCCACAATCTCGTGGCCCAACACGAGCTCCAACGGGCAGGCGTCACCACGATCTTCCCAGCACACTCGGATCACTGTGACCTCTTCGACCCTAAGTCCAACAAGCTCCTAGCACGCTTCACACTCAACAGTAGCAAGCTCTACACGCTGCGTTCACCTGCTCCTCTCGCCGCTCTCTCCCAAGCGCAAGCTGCCAGCACCACTCCGTGTTCGTGTCGCAGCTTCGCCAACCCAACCATCCTCTACCACCATCGCTTGGGTCACCCCAACTTCCGTACACTTGCCGACATCGCGTCCAAGAAACTTCTTCTTGGCCTCCCGTCGGCGCTTCCTCCACCAACAGACTCACCTGCACCCACCTGCCTGGACTGCACCAAGAGCAAGCTCAGGCAGCAGCCGCACCCTTCCTCCCCTTCCTGCCTGGATTGCCAACTCACGAACCTCTGGGAGGGGAGGGCGGAGACCGGGAGGAGGCATAGGTAGAATAGACCATGCAGAAACTAGCTTGCATTGTTAAAGGACAACCGAATCTGATTTCCTTCCATGACGGAAGGTTCCTGGCCACAAAGGCATGGGCTAGGTGGGATCTATTATAAATAGACTGCAAATACCACTTTTGTACTTGTACTTTTATATCCTAGTTTAGGTTATGAATGTTCTAGTGGGTTGGGGTGTACTCACAAATCCCAACCTTACCCAATTGTCATCCCCCCAATGTCCAGTTACCCAATTGGAGATTCCGGAGATCCCAAAGGGGATTCCCTCCAATTCCCCCTTCATCCATTCACTCTCACCTTGCCATGTACTTATAAAGCCTTGGGCTCCTTTCCTAATTAATCATTTCAACTCTATTTCTTACACCGCATGGAAGAGGGCATATCCCCAGAGTGACCGTGGTGCATTGGCGTGACTGAGGAGGCAGCGAGCGATCTGAGGTTGCGGCTCTCTGCAATGCCGTTCTGCTGCGGGCTTTCGGGGAGCGTGAAGGTTTGCCCAATCCCTTGGGCCGCACATAAGTTATCGAGTTTGCCATTGCGAAATTCTCCCCCGCCATCAGAATGGAGGCACTTAAGAGGAGTGCCGAACGTGACTTGAGCCTGGCGCACCCACGCCATGATGACATCAGGTGCCTCCGCCTTGGTATGCAGGAGGTGCACAGAAACATACCGCGAGTGGTCATCGACTAGTGTAAGAAAGTACCGATGACCGCCTCGGGATGCGACTGGAGCTGGGCCCCAGACATCCATGTGCACTAGGTCCAGCGGAGCAGCTGCGACGGATGGGGAGGAAGGGTGTGGCTGCTGTCTGAGCTTGCTCTTGGTGCAGTCCAGGCAGGTGGGTGCAGGTGAGTCTGTTGGTGGAGGAAGCGCCGACGGGAGGCCAAGAAGAAGTTTCTTGGAAGCGATGTCGGCAAGTGTACGGAAGTTGGGGTGACCCAAGCGATGGTGGTAGAGGATGGTTGGGTTGGCGAAGCTGCGACACGAACACGGAGTGGTGCTGGCAGCTTGCGCTTGGGAGAGGGCGGCGAGAGGTGCAGGTGAACGCAGCGTGTAGAGCTTGCTACTATTGAGTGTGAAGCGTGCTAGGAGCTTGTTGGACTTAGGGTCGAAGAGGTCACAGTGATCCGAGTGTGCTGGGAAGATCGTGGTGACGCCTGCCCGTTGGAGCTCGTGTTGGGCCACGAGATTGTGGCGTAGTGTGGGAACACAGATGCCAGTCACACTGCCTGAAGGAAAAGCTGGGCACGGAACTGTGGAGGAGCCCTTAGCGTGTGTTGTGAAACTGGAGTCTGCTCCTAGTAGACGGATTGGTGTCTCGTATGGCTTGAAGGAGTGTTCTTCCTTGAGAACCGTGTGAGTGGCCCTACTGTCGAGGGTGAACTCTATTGTGGCTGAGGTGCTTTGTGAGCCGGGACACTGCGAAATTGTCTCATTAATCATGGCAGTGCCAGGGAACAACATGTGGAGGCGCACATCAACAGTGGGAGCTACAGCAGCCTGCACGGATTCCTGCGCTTCGACTTGATTGACCTTGCGAGGAGCACGATTGACCATCCAGCTTGGTGGCTTCGAGGCGGTCCCATTGACGGCATACCAATGGTCATCCTTTTTCTTGAAGTAGGAGGCAAGGGCGTGGTTGGTGCCGCCACACACCTGGCCGGCACGAGGGCCGTGCTTGATGACATAGAGACACGGGGGGAAGCGATTGCGCTCGAATGGCGCCGAAGCGGCATAAGCTTGAGGCACGGGAGCGCGGATTGCATTGGCCTTGGCTTGAGCGCTGTTGTCCTTTTCGGCAGAAAGGAGCACGGATGAGACCTTGGCAAATGTGAGGTCTGCAGGAGCAAGGCCCAAGAGCATCTTGCGTGTGACTTCGTATGCCGGAGTGAGGCCGACTAGGAGAGCGGCTGCAGGGGCTTGCTCGGGGAAGACTATCCCCAACTGTTTGAGTTCGCCATGAATGGACTGCACCTTGGTGACATAGTCCGCCATGCCTGGCGAGTCCTCGAGCCGCACTTGGAACATGCTGGGGATGAGTATAGCAACTCCCACTGCAGTCTTGTTCAGGAAGCGATCCTCGAGGTAGAGCCAAATGGCGTTGGCAGACGGGTAGTTGTGGTAGGTTTCGATGAGTTCGAGAGGAGTGGTGCCCATGAAGACACTAATGACCGCACCATCGGCCTTCTCCCAATTCTTGTACTTGAGCAGTGCAGCAGCATAAACTGCTTCGGCGGCGGCATTAGCTGGATCGGCGGACCTCTCGGGTTTAGGAGGCTCTTTGCCGTCACCGATGTTGAGAAGGACGTCGGTGAGCTCGAGCCCCTTCACCTCGCGACTGAGGAGGTGCTTATCAACACCATAGCGCCAAGCCTTGTAGTTGGAGCATGTGCCGTCCGGCTCAAGACGAAGGAGCGGGATCG